GTCTCGAACCCGCGGGCTCAGGCAATCCACTCACCTCAGCCTCCCAAAGGCACAGGATTACAGGCTGAGCCACCGAGCCCGGCTAAAGCCCAAGTTTTGAGATTCTTTTTTTTGAGTCGGAGCCTCACTCTGTCACCAAGGCTAGAGTGCAGTGGCACGCTCATGGCCACCGCAGCCTCGACCTGCAGGGCTCAGGCGTTCCTTCTGCCTCAGCCTTCCAGGTAGCTGGAACCATAGGCATGCACCATCACGCCTGGCTAATGTTTTGAGTTGTTGTAGAGATGAGGTCTCACCAAGTTGCCCAGGCTGGTCTCGAATCCCTGGACTCAGGCAATCCTCTAATCTCAGCCTCCCAAAGTGCTGGGATTACAGGCTTGAGGCACCGTGCCTGGCCTGTTTTGAGATTCTTGATGGCAAAAGAATGGACTAGAGCTTTATTCACCAGTGTAAATGGGCTTCAAAAAGATAAGGATAAGGGGAAAGCAAGTTATGAGATAGGATGTGTGAAAAGGTTCCCCTTACATTCATCTTCAGGAAGCACACAGAGGGCACTGAATATTGTTCATTGTACCTACGTGTGCATGCACAGGCAGGGATGGATTCACAAGTCCACAATAAAGTGGGTTCCTGTGGGTGGGGGAGACTTCCTGGCTAGTGTAGGAGAGTGATGAATTATATTGCTCCCATTCTCTTTCTCTGCCTCTGAAACACAACAAACACAAGACAGAAGAGAGTGTTTTTATAATTTTGGGATAAAATAGGCTTTCCTGAACAAGACGTGAAATCCAGAAGCTACTAAGGCGAAATCAACAGATTTGACAGCATCGTGTTGAGCAACACAACATGGAGCCTCTGTGTGGTGAAAGTCTCCATAAACAAAGTTGAAAGAAGGATGACAGAAGCATAGATCATAAAGGATCAATACCATGATGTAGAAAAGCTGATATAAATCAATACAAAAGAGATGAACAACCCGGCGGCAAAGCAGGCCAAGGCTGTGGGCAGATGGTCTCCCTGGTAGGAGCTCAGGGAAGACAGGGAGATGGGGAGCGAGAGGGCGAAGCAGCTACAGGAAGGAGGGTCGGAGAGGGCTGGCGGCACCCATGGGCAGCACAAGCCAGGAGTGAGATGGGCAGCTAGGGATAGAGAGGGGGAATCAGGGAGACCCGGGGAGAGCTGGATGTGGGCGATGCTGGCCGGATGGGTGGAAGGGTGGGGCTGGGGAAAGAGGACCAGGCTGGGTTCTCAGGCCCTGGGCAGCTGGGGGGACAGAGGGGGCAGGTCCACATCAAAGGGGTAGTGCCACCAGCAGCTGGCAGGGCCCCACCCTTCCCAGCTCAGCGGGGCTTTGTCCTTTGATGTGTGCCAGGGGAGGGGCTGGCCCTGCCCATTCCCCACTCACACTGGATGCTCAGTGCTGCCAGGTTGGCTGAGCCACTGTGCTTGGGGGAAGGATATGGAGCGGGGATGACTTGAAGCTCCTGAGATGGGGCCAGAACCGGGGAGGAAGTCTCTCAGTTGGTGGCTTGGTGGAGATACACGCTTATGTCTCCAGGGTTTCTGGGGACAGAGGAGCTGTCTGGGCCATACCACTCTCAAGCCAGGAAAGTCCACTTCCATCCCAGCACTATACAGAGGGGCAAACAGAGGCCCAGAGTGGCCTGGGAGTGGAGTCTTTGCTGAGGCGAGGGTTGGGCTCCCTGCTCTCTCTGGCTCTTGGGTGCTGCGGCCAGAGGGGAGCACAGTGGAAGCAAAGGAGGAGAGGTGGAGGAGCGAGTGGCCCCCAGCATTCCCTGCCCCTCCCCACAGTATTTCTGGCTGCTGGTCCTGTCCCGGGGGCTGGTGGGCATTGGCGAGGCCAGCTATTCCACCATCGCGCCCACCATCATTGGCGACCTCTTCACCAAGAACACACGCACGCTCATGCTGTCCGTCTTCTACTTTGCCATCCCACTGGGCAGGTGAGAGCTGGAGATGCCAGGGTTTGGGGGGAGGATCCCTGCAAGGTCCCAGTGGACTTCTGAGCACTCCCTCTCTCTGGGATTCTGGGCCAGGCAGGTGTCCTCAGCTAGCTGGAAGTGTGGGTGGTCAGCCTTGGAGAGACGCCAGGACCTGCTGCTGGGCTGGCTGGGTGGTGAGGGCAGGTGGTGAGGGCGGGTGGCCCGCCTTATAGATCAGTAAGCACTCACCATCCCTGCTCCCCAACTCTGCTTCATCTGACGTGGGTTCATCTTCTCTTCAGCGGCCTGGGCTACATCACTGGCTCCAGTGTGAAGCAGGCGCTTGGAGACTGGCACTGGGCCTTGCGGGTAAGGCCTGCGTACCCTCCCCAGTTCGGCCCTTGACCCAGGGTCACCCAGACACTCTAGCCTTGCCTAGAGCCCAGGCTAGGCCTCGCCGGCCTAGGCTCTGAAATCCTTGCCCTTTAGATGAGTCCAGGTGGAGGTGTCAAGGCGCTCAGGTGTGAGGGGTGCCAGACACAGCCCCACTGCCCTCAGGGTCCCCAGTCTGAGGGCTGGCATCCCCCATCCTGGTTGAGAGGACCAAGGATTCTCCTGTCATGTCAGGAAATTCCAAGTGATGCTTCCTGCTTTGAGCCCTGATGTGCTAGTGTAAGGCTGGGACAAGCCCTCTGTGTGGGGCCCCTGGGCTCTGGAGCCATTTCCTGTCTCGCCAGAGGATTCGGGGCAAGTTACCAAGGCCCCAGGACAGTGCAATCGGAGGAAACAGAGATCCCTAGTCTCTTAGAGGAACGGAAGCTTAAGACAAAGTGTTTTTTCCTCAAAAGCAGGAAGGAGGTGGCCTCCGTGGAATTTCTTGGTGGGGGGTGAGAGGGAGTAGCATGGAGAGGAACTCTGCAGCCCATGGGCTCCCAGACTTCATGGGGGTGGGGACAGATTCTCTTCTCTCTGGGTTGATGAGATGGAGTCCAGGCTGCCGAGATGTCACCACCCTCCCATGTGGAGGGAAGCCCGGGGCCTTGGAGGTTCTGTCCTTGACACTGGCCTGGACACAGTGAAGGACCCATCTGGGCTTGTGAGCTTCTCTTCTCAGGGGGTCTGCACGAGCCCCTCCCAAATGATAGTTTACTCCTTCTGTAGCTGGAAGCTTCATGCCCAGCCAGGCCCCTCCCGGTGCTCCCCAGGGTGAGGAACCCACCTGAGGGACTACCCTAGGCCCAGGGAGTTAGGCGGGCCTAGTATCTGGTTCTCCGTCCCCAGGAACTCTCCCTTTTCCCCAAAGTCATCATTCCATCTGTCTGTCCTTCCACCTGTCTTCTTTCTTTCCGTTCATCCATTCAGCTACCTGCCATCAGTCTGTCCATCTCCCATCCACTCTCCAACCTCTGTCCGTCCACCCGACAATCCATCTAGCCACTCTTTCCTTCTGCTTGTCAGTCTTCCTTGCACCCTGCTGTCTTGCCCCTGGTCTGGACAGTCCATCTCGAGCCCCAAGTCCTTGACTGACTTCCTTCCCGGTGGCTTCTCCCAGCAGCCCAGTTCAGAAGGCTGGGCAGACACTAGCCCAGTAGAGAAACCCGGGGCTCAGAGAAGGAGCGGTTTGCCTGAGCCCCTCCTAGTGCAGTGCCGGAGTCCTAACTTCGTGCTCCCCACCCCAACAGGTGTCCCCTGTCCTGGGCATGATCACAGGAACACTCATCCTTGTCCTGGTCCCGGCCACTAAGAGAGGCCATGCTGACCAGCTTGGGGGGCAGCTCAAGGCACGGACCTCATGGCTCCGTGACATGAAGGCCCTGATCCGAAAGTGAGTACAAGGGTCTGATGGGAGGAGGGAGGGGTGCTGAGATGAGAGGCCTCTCCACGGCTGGGCTGCCCACAGGCACCTTTGGCTGGACTTCTTGCCATCTCTGCTGTCCAGTGGTGCTAGTTTTGGCCACTGGAGTTTATTATTCCTATTGCCTGAACCCTCACTCCCAGAGCCTGTGAGGGAAGGCCTTTGAGACTTTCTGTCCTGGGAGAAGGTGTGAAGTGGGCCTGGGGAGAAGAGGCCCCCTCCTGGGCCCTGATGCCTGGGGCTGCCTGCGGGAGCCCAAGGAGGTTCTGGGCCCTGGCTTAGTATCGCTGCCCTGGCCTCTCCCCAGTCGCAGCTACGTCTTCTCCTCCCTGGCCACGTCGGCTGTGTCCTTTGCCACAGGGGCCCTGGGCATGTGGATCCCTCTCTACTTGCACCGCGCCCAAGTTGTGCAGAAGACGGCGGAGACGTGCAACAGCCCACCCTGCGGGGCCAAGGACAGGTGGGGCCTGGTGGTTGGGCCCAGGGTTGGGGAGAGACCCTGGAGAGGAGAGCCCCTCTGTCTCGGCCCTGGCCCCCCTCAACCCACCCTCTGTCCTCACAGCCTTATCTTTGGTGCCATCACCTGCTTTACGGGCTTTCTGGGCGTGGTCACAGGCGCAGGAGCCACACGCTGGTGCCGCCTGCGGACCCAGCGGGCTGACCCACTGGTGTGTGCTGTGGGCATGCTGGGCTCTGCCATCTTCATCTGCCTGATCTTCGTGGCCGCCAAGAGCAGCATTGTGGGGGCCTATGTGAGTGCAGTGGGGGTCGGGGGCAGGGGTGCTGGGGGGAGCTGGGCCTGGGTCTTGGGAGGCTCTGGATCAGGAAAGTCGGTCTGACTGGCTGTCCCCTCCTCCCTGTGGGGAGGCTCCGGTCCTCTGACTGCTCCCCCCTGCACACACACAGCCAGTTTGCACCTGGGTGCTAGGGTGTTGGAACTGTGGGCATGGCTTGAAGTCTCATTCTTTAGGAGCCTGACCATTAGATGTGGGTCTGGGAGGGATGGGAGGTTTGGGGGCTCCCTGCCGGCAGCCAGTGTGCAGGGAGCAGCTTGGGGCTGCTGGTAGGTGGGGGTGCCCCCTGATGATTACTCTGCTCTCTCCTGCAGATCTGTATCTTTGTCGGAGAGACGCTGCTGTTTTCTAACTGGGCCATCACTGCAGACATCCTCATGGTGAGTCAGGCAGGCCAAGGTCACCTTGTGCCGACCCAGGCCTCTTGCTCTCACAGGGGCAGCTGGGGAGGACGGGTGAAGGGGTAGAAGAGGTGGCAGGACTTGGCGAGAGGTGTCAGTGGGAAGGAAGGAAAGCCTGCTGGGAAGGTGCGCCCAGAGGCAGGAAGGGGATCAGAGACATTGGGGTCTGCATCAGGCAAGGCCTGAAGACAGAGGGTTGAGCAGTGGATGGGGTAAAATGTGGGGACCAGATGGGGAGGGAGTGTCTTGAGGCTCAGGTTAGTGCTGGGAGGCTGGCAGTGCCAGGCTGGCATCGAGGTGGTGCTGCCTGCCAGGGCTCCTCCCCCAGGGTCTGAGCGTTCATGGGCTCTGCCCCTCCCAGTCCAGCCTTGGTCCCAGGCGTGCCTGCCCTAGTGCCTGCGGCTGGGCCTGGGCGGACAGAGGCTGTCTTCACAGGGCCAACAATGGGCTCCAGACCAGCCGGCCAGGGACAAAGGGCTGTCTGAGTTGCTGGCAGGGGTTTGTATCCCTGAGCGAGAAAGGGAGCACCCTGGGAGGAGCCAGGAGGCTGCTGGCCTTGCGGCAGGGGGCTGGCAGGGGTGCGTGTGACACTTGCTCCTGTGCTCTGGGATCCTCCAGGTCGGGGTCAAGAGGGGACTGGGAGAAGAGAGCACAGGGGCTTGGCAGAGGGAAGTGTCTGGGAGGTGCTAGGGCAGGCCCTGTGGTGGAAGGAGGAATGACTTCTTGTGGGCAGACCCTCAGGGTGCTTGGGTGCCGCAACATGGGACAGCCCAAGAGACCAGAGCGTGCCAGGCACTGCGGCCCCTGCTAGCTCTTCCCTGCCAGGAAGCCTACACTGCCCCACCGAGCCTCCCTGCACATCCGCTTCCCCCAGGCTGTCTTTCTCTGCCCCCCACCAGTTCATGGGCTGGGGTGGAGGTGGAGGGGAGATCTGACTCAGCTCTGTGCCTCAGCCTGGAGCCAGGCGGTGGCAAGGGCGGGGCGGGGTCACTGCACAGGCCCAGAGTGAAGGGAGGAGTGAGTCTGAACCAAGCTCCCTTGGTGCTGGGCAGGACTCCCTCCCCTGCGTCCACCCCCTGGGGCAACCCTGACAGTTGCTGACAGGGTCTAGGTCCCAGGGAAATTGTGTCCCAGTTTATTAAGTGTCACAGCCAAGTGACTAATTATTGTTGGAAATGGGGACACTCGATTTCATCAGATCCAGGTCTTCTTTCACTCCCCCCCAAGGGGGTGTCCAGGGGACGCTGGCTGCTTCCACATACTGCCCACTAAGGCTGGCACCCTGAGAAGGGGAGGCAGCTGGAGCTCAGGCAGCTGGAAACCCCCCCGACTTTGACCCACGAGGACCTACTTGGTTGGGGGGAGTGTCTGGAGATCAGTGGTTCCTGGCACTTGGGGTTGCCCATAGGTACGAGGGGAGGCTCTTCCAGGCAGGGTCCTTCTTTACCACCACCCCGTATCCCAGGCCAGCATAGGCTTTGCTTGGTCCTTGGGTGGAGAACTAAGATGGGTCTTTAGCTTGTAGGGAGATGAGGGCAAGGGGCCGAGAGGCCAGGGTTCTGGTTCCAGAGTGGCCTGACTCCACATGTGGGCCCTTGGGAACGTGTACCTCTCTGGGCCTCCGTGTTTCTGTGACCATAGCACTTGGTTTCCCAGCAGGGGCCAAGTGCAGAACCTAGGGACTGAGGCGAGAGATGGGATCTCATGAGTAGAGGGGAGCCTGGCAGGGGGAGGCAGCAGCTCCACCATCTCTGCTGGCTGAGAGCTCTGGAAGAAAGCCTTCTACTGGTACTAGGGTAGCCCCTAAGTTCTTCCCTCCCTTGACTGTGGTAGCAGAGAGGGAGGTGAAGAGTTCCATCTCTGAGGCAGGACCTGGGGCAGGTCGAAGTGGTCTGGGCAGGGCTGGGGGCTTAGAAGCCCTTGGTGCTGAGGGAATGGCTGAAACCATGTGTGGGTGAGGAGGATCCAGGGAGGAGAGGGGTGGATGAAGCTGAGAGGAGCAGCCATGCTGACAAGGTGGGCATCGGAGGGTGGGGAGGAGGGAAGGACCCAGGGAGGGAAGCGTCAAGACAGCGAAGCAGGAGTGAGTCTGAGGATGCGGGGGCTTCCGAAGCGCCATGGCTTCAGGGTGGGCCAGCTCCCATGGCCCCTGACCTGCCACCTCTTCCGTAGTATGTGGTCATCCCCACCCGACGGGCCACCGCTGTGGCCCTGCAGAGCTTCACCTCCCACCTGCTGGGGGACGCCGGAAGCCCCTACCTCATCGGCTTTGTGAGTGGCACAGGGCTGGCCTGGGGGAAGCTGGGGGGCTTTGGGCGGCAGCCCTGCCCTGATGTCCACCCTCCAATCCTTGCAGATCTCAGACCTGATTCGCCAGAGCACCAAGGACTCCCCGCTCTGGGAGTTCCTGAGCCTGGGCTACGCCCTCATGCTCTGCCCCTTTGTCGTGGTCCTGGGCGGCATGTTCTTCCTTGCCACTGCTCTCTTCTTCCTCAGCGACCGTGCCAAGGCTGAGCAGCAGTGAGTGGGGGTGAGGGTAGGCCTGCTGCCGAGGCTGGGAGGGAGAGCTGTGAAAGCCCACTGTGACCCCTGCCTGGGGGTGGGCAGAAGGTAGAGACCTGTGCCTCTGGGTGGGTAACCTGGCTGCTGGGGCCTGGCCCTCAGCCTTCCTGTGCCCCAGGTTCACCCTCACCCCGGAGCTGTGGTAGCCCACAGGGTCCTGCTGGTGGAAATACTTAACTTGGGTTTTTCTCTGGAGTTAATGTTTTTCAGAGCTGGGGCCCCTCCCCATCCTTTTCCTCTTTCTGACTTCTTTCTCCTTTCCTCTTTACTCCTCTCTTTCTCTCTCCTCTCCCTACCCTTGGGCTCTCCCACCTCCCCCTGGGGCTGACGAGGTCCCTGCCCAGCACCTCCGGTCAGGCGGCCCAAACGATGCGATGTGCCAGAGCAGTGCCCGGGCCCGGCCCCCGCTGATGCGCCATCCTGACCCCCGTCCGTCTCTCCCTCAGGGTGAACCAGCTGGTGATGCCGCCCGCATCTGTGAAAGTCTGAGGTGGTAAGTGCACGCCAGGGGACAGTCCCCTGGGGCCCGAGGCTAGGACCCCTTGTGGAAGGTGAAAGGCCGGGACTAGGGGACAGGGAGCACTCCTTAAGTGGCCTCCTGCCTGGGCCTGTCCCACCCACCCTGGGTTTGGTTTCGTTCTCTTAAGATGTTACCAGAACATCTTACTGACAGAGCCATGGGGTGGGAAGGCAGGCTCCTTCCAGTAATCAGCTCCTCCTTCCTTCCTTGGAAGCACTGGGGCATGGCATGGGCGAGTACTAGAACTGGCCAGAACACCTCCCTTTCTGGATTTTATCCTTCCAAGTCTTGGACCTTCCTTGGAACCTGGCCTCTGGGAGCTGCAGCTTCCCAGCAGTCAAGACCTGGGGTCACAGCCCTGAGTCCAAAAGAAAGGCCCAAACATCAAGATAAATGAGGGAGGGCAGCCTTTGGGGTGGGTCCCCCAAAACCCCTTTTCTGACCTGACACCCCTCCCCACAGGTACCGCTGGGACCATGAAGAACCCATACGCCTACCTGGTCTGGGAGGTGTCATCTCACATCCTGGACTTGCTGAGGTGTCCCAAAGCTTTCTGTGTGACCCACGACTGGGCACTCACCCTCTCTGGCCCAGGACTCCTGAGTGGCCCTGGCTCCAAGAGGAGGCTGTGTCCTCACTTAACTTGGAAAGCTCTGTGTGTTGGAGCCACGTGGCTGGACAGATTCCCAGCTCTGGGTTTGGGCCAGTGGGGCCCTGGGGCCAAGGGAGAAGACAGCCGCAAGGGGGTGTATTGGGAGAGGCTGGCCTGTCACCAGCATATGTGATCTTGGGCAAGTCCCTGCCCTCCCTAGGCCATAGGGCCAGGGGGCTGGACTTTCCCACACAGCTTGCTGGGCAAGGCATGATCTACAGCTTTGAAGGTCCAGCAGATCCTGGAATGTACAGAGAAGAGATGGCCCAGGCCTCAGGGAGGTCATTCAGGCTTTGAGGCTCACTGAACGTGGTGTGCGGGGACGATGGACTCTCGGCTGGGCCTCTGACCTTGGGGACATTGGACTCAACCTGGCAAATGGAGCTGGACACCCATCACAAGGCACTTCCTGGCCCAGCTGGTCACTCTGGAGAACACTGGTCTCCCTGCCTTGAGTTCTTTTAGACTGGAGGCCTCCCAGATGGGGACCATCCCCAAAAGCTATCACCAGGGTGAAGGCCCTGGCAGCAGCGATACACCACCCATGTCCCCAGGCTTGATTTCTGGGAGTTCTCTCTCGGCCCACCTCTGCAGGGCTACGGTGGCCCCTAGAGTGTGTTTGCTGTCCACCCTCAAGCCAGGAATCTCCTCCCTCCCCAAGGCAGGGCTGTCTTCCCTACAGGCAGGGCCCAGGGGATCATTCCCAGAATCAATGGGGCAGTAGCCAGAACTCCAGCCGCCAGAGGAAACAGTTATCCACAAAGCTTCCTGCCCAGGGATGAGCCTGGTGGAGGCTGAGGCCCACATGGGGAGGCCACCCCACCCAAACATAGGCTGCTGTTGCTTGGTGCACTGACCAAGGCAGGCCAGGCCTTTGATCACTCCACTCCTGTCTGCACACACACCAGCCCCAGCACCCCCAGAGGAGCTTATCCCTTCCGCATCACATACTTCCTGCACATTTGCTGCAATCAAGGTGGTTCTGGTCTGGGGGTGGGCTTGTGGCCAGTTGGACACCCCAAGAGCCAGCTTGGACAATGCTTTCTGCCGCTTAGTTGCTGGCTGGCTGTGGCTTCAGTGATGTGTAAGCTAGTGGAATACCTATCCACTAAGCTCTGGGACACCCCAGGGGCCTGACAAAAGGGTGGGGCAGGGACAGGGTCCCCTAGAGACCAGCCCGGCTTCCACCCCACCCCAGCCTCAGTCGGGGGTCCCAGCAATGTTTTCTTGTTGTACAAGAACCAGGTCCAAGTGTTGCCTCCTCTTCCTTCCGGAAGCCAAACTGCTCCTTTATTTTTTAGAGCTGCTGATTGTGAATCTCAGAGTCTTAAGAGAGAAGCCAAATATATTCCTCTTGTAAATGAAGAAATAAACCTATTTAAATCATGCCCTGGTGGCTCCTGAGGAAAAACAGCCCAGGGGTGGGGGGTGAGGACAAAAGGAGCATCACACATGCCAGAGCCCCCAGCCAATGTGTGGACTTGAACAGCAGGGCCCCAGGCCTGGCCCACCTGCCCCAGAAGCCAAGGTCCCAGCCCCGTACAGACCAAGTATGGTCTGGGCTGAGGAAGGCCAGTCCTGAACTGGGGTCTCTGCACCCTGGGAGTCCTGGGGTCCTGGCTTGGGCTGTGCTTGTGGCAGCAGGAGCCTGACAGGCTGGCAACAGACCCACTCTCCAGTGCCAGAGCTAGTGCTGTAGACTGTGGCTTGTTTATTAAAAATCATGGTGAAAAAAATAGTCTCTGGGGCTGGTAGAAGCTCTGTGTTCAGGGCCTGCTCACTTTTAGTTGTGTTTTCTTTTTCTTGGCCCCACCCCGGTGCAGGCTGGGTCTCCTGATGGCCAGAGACAACCTTGCCTTTTTCTGTGGCAAGGTGGACTGTGGTGATTTGCCTGAGACCCCCTTTCTGGGAAGAGCCTTCTGATGCTTTCTGCCTGCAGACTCTGAGGGGGACACGGGAGTGGCTCCATTCACCTGGGATGGCTTCTGGCTTTTCTCCTGCAGTTCTGGGGTCTTGGCAGGGGTGCCAGGGCTCAGGCTGGGGGTGTCAGGGGCTGGCCTCTTGGCAGCAGGTGTCCCATTCACCTGAGACTGGGCTGGGCCCTTGGTCTTCGTCCTGCTTCTCTTCTTCTTTTTCTTGCCTGCGCTGACGGGCTGGGCCCCACCGGTGGCAGCAGGCTTGGCATCCTCCTTTTGGGTACCATCCTCTGACTTGCGTTTCTTGCGCTTCTTGGTCTCTGGCAAGAATCCCTTTTTCTTCCGCTTCATGCTAACGGGGCTCTGGGTGGCACTGGGGACCCCCTTGGCATCCTTCTTCTCCAACTTGGGGCGCCTGGTGGTGAGAAAGTAAGGAAGCGTTCAGCGAAGGCAGGCATCACCTCCACACAGGGTCCTTGGGACCCAAGTGCCTAAAGCCCTGACATCGGAGCGTGCACTTCAGAACGGGGCACGTGTAGTGGTGTAAGGGTCTTTCCAGCCCCTCCCCAGGTATGCATCCTCCTCCACGAACTTACTGGACTCCCAGGATTTTCATGGCCTGCCAGTAGAGGTCGTGGAGGCGGCTGGACCCAGCAGAGTGCGCCCCCTGCTGCAGGCTGTCCTGCAGGTTCTGCTGCTGGCTCTGCAGCACCTCTAGGAGCCAAGTCAAGTCCAAAGCCAGATCCTGCAGAGGGATGGGAATGCGGTGGTGACAGGAAACGGGGCCTCTCCTGGCTCCTGGCCCCAGCCCTCCCACCCTTGCCCCACTGCTGCCTCTTCAGCGACCCCTGACCCTCCTGGGCCTAAGCCACTCCTGCTTGCAAACCACCAGTCTCTCATCATGGAGGAAACAAGAGCCCCCCGGGCATTGGTTCCCCTTCCCATGGTGTCCTCACTTCCCGCGAGGCCCTTCTCTCCTGCAATGGCTCTGGTCTGCCCATCTCTAGGAGTGTCACTCAGTCACCTGGGGGTTGACATACCTCTTTCCACCTCAACCTCCCAGCGTGTACTGAATGGGCTATTTCTGAAGCCCACTGGCTTCCTCAGTACCACTCTGAGGTCCTACAGCACAATGTTGGCAAGCCTGCCTTCCCCAAGGCTCTGACTAGCACCTATGCAGTCTTTCCCTCTGGGCCAGATTGCAGGAACCAGATGCCACCCAGAGCTGCCTCTTGTCCCTGCTCTGATGGCTCACAAGCATCTCATGTTCTACTCACCCCAGGCCTGGAAACCTGGCCTCCCTAACTGCTGCCCACCCAGAATCTTCTCCCGTGGTCTTCAGTCCCGAGCCGCCTCTCAGCTTCCTTACTGGACCTTTCTTACTGGCAACAACACTCTCACCCTGCCCTGCCAGAGATAAAGTGGTACTCTCCCCACCCCAGTCATTCCACGGGGAGCACCCATGGCTCTATTACACCTAGATAAAGACAGCCCAGACTCCTTACCCTGGCCCCAGAACTTTCTCCATGTGGCTGCACACCAGTCCTGTCTGGGGATCCCCCTCCTTCCCTGGAAGCCCCAATGCCTCCAGGTCTCTCTCGAACCCCAGGCTTGGCAGGCTCCAGTCTCACCTCATTTCGAACAGTCCTAAAGACAGAGTTGAGCAGCTCCAAGAAGGATAGCGCCTTCTGGTGCTCCGCCTTGCTCTGTGCCTCCCCCAGCGTCCGCAGGTTCTGGGGAAGAGATGGCCAGGCTGAGGCACTCCAGAGAGCCGCTCAAAGCCTTTTCATTTCCCACCAGAGACTAAAGCCCAGAGGCAGGAAGTGTCTCCTGGGTCAACCCCAAATCCCACTGGAGGTGGATGGAGGCTCAGATTCCAATCCTTGCTCCTGTGCTCGTAGGGATGGGTAGGAGGGACCTCTGTGGCTGTTACCTCAGTGACCTTCACCAAGACTTGGCCAATCAGCTGCTTCCACTCAGAGTCCTCAAAGCACGATCTCAGCTCCCGCATGGACAGTGTCTTCTGGAGCAGCAGGGAGGCCTTGGCCTGGGGTTGGGAGAAGGTAGATGTGGAGTCTTGGCACATGTGCCAAGGCTCAAGGACCCAGAGCTCAGGAGCCCGTCAAGTGCCTGATGAGATCACAGCAACTGTGGGTTGTGCACGAGAAGCTGCCTGCTCTGGGCTGTGTACTCATCTGCTCTTATGCCTTCCTGTGTAGGTGGGGGTGCTGAGGTATGGAGGCAAGCAGGACTCCCAGCTGGGTAGAGGTGGGACCTCAGGTTGAGACAGTTCCTGTACGTTATTCGTTTAGGGCCATCTCTCTCTACCCTGCCTTGACAGCCCCAGCACCTGAGACACCTGAGTAGATGCTGCTGGGGTGTCCTCTGTGGGCCCAGAGCACAAGCTCTTGGGGGAGTTGGAGCACTCAGGTTGGATGCGCAGCAGTGGCTACGGGAGCAAAGCTGGCCCGGCCCCTCCAGCTCCTCTGTGCCAACAGGTGGGAGGGGCTGCAGCACGGCCATCCCATCAGAGGACATGTGCTACAGCCAAGTCGGTGGGGCAGGGGCAGGCTGTGCCCTTGCTCACCAGGGCAGTGCTCAAATACCCAGTCAGAAGCAGGTTAAGTAGGTGGCCGAGAGGTTCTGGACTGGGATCTGCGAAGTCTTACCTGATGGCGGGGCTGCACTGAGCCTGCTATGTGCTGTACCAGGATGGGGAGCAGGCTCTTACAGAGCACCTGAGGGGGAATGACAAGGGCCATGAGCTGGGGACTAGACTGGGTAGGGGCTCAAAGGGGGTGGGGCAGCTGATCCCAACACTCACCGGGTGCCGGGAGAAGAGACTGAGGAACATGGGAACAGTGAGTGGGCTGTTGCGCTTGGTCAGGAAGGAGCTCAGTGCTGTCGAGTAGACTGGGGTCACGAGGTTCAAGTCCAAGCAGCTGGCAGTCTGGGCCAGGTGAGAGAGTTGGATGAGGCCGGGTGAGGGCTGGGTCCTGGGGAAGTCCTGGCTTCCACTCCCTGCCTGTGAAATGCCTGGGACGGCTGGCCCTGCTCACCTGTGGGCCCTCAGGCTTGGTGCTGGTGGCGGCACTGGCCTTTTGCTGCTTCTGGGTCTCGTGGACACACTCCTCGGCGGTGTTGCCTTTCAAAACCCGGAGCAGGTAGAGAGAGGCATTGAAGTGGTAGAGGGCGACAGAGGAGTCGGCCTGGCGGCCAGCCTGCTGCACCAGCTGTACCACCTGGCTGTGCAGAGTCTCCACACGGTCACCCAAGTCATGGCAATAGCGCCGGGCACGGCACAGCTGGTGCCTGTGGGTGGTGGGGGCAGAGCTGGTCAGAACATTCTCTCACAAATACTGCTCTCTGCCAAGCAGAGCCAACCCAAGTCCCATTTCACAGGTGAGGAAACAGGTCCAGAGAAGAAAAGGGACTTAACTAAGGCTGCAGGAGGCCCAGGGCCACCTGCAGACTGCGCTGAGGCAGTGTGGGCTCAGTGTGCCCGGGCAGAGGGTGCATGTGAGGGGAAAGGGGGCTCCCTGGGTGGCGGTTGCACCAAGGGCCAAGCACCAGAGTAGTCCACATCTCCTGCTTGCACCTGAGTCTTGTTGGACTGTGGCCTCCAGGCCTTCTGTAAAGTGGCACCAGGGTTTATATGCTTAGAACCCTGCACAGCCCTGCAGGGCTGGGGACAGAATGGGGATGAGAGGCAGGACACACCGCAAACTGCCCAAGCCAGGTAGCAGGAGAACCATCTGAGAACGTGTGTCCTGGGGCTAGCCCAGGACTGTGCCAGGGAGGCACGGCAGCCACTCTCCCAATCCCCTAGGCTGTGTATTCAGGGTCCCAGGTCTGCAGACCTTCACCTCCCCAGCTTCTGAGTTCTAGAAGGCAAGACTGTATCTGGCACCTGCCTCTCTCCCAGTGCCTGCTGTCGCCCCCCTGCCAAGCCCCTGCCTCTAGCACAGCCCCTTCCAAACCCTGCTGTCCATTTCTTAGAAGCAAACCAGATCCAGACTCTTCCCCAGTTGAACGCTCTTGCTCAAAGCATCCCTGCGGCCTCACAGTGCTGCTAGGGCCAGGGCCCGCATGCCCCGTTCCAGCTTTGTCTGTCTGACCGGCTTCCTCTCTGCCCTGCCCGGGGGCCCCTGGCCTGATGAATCCCCACGTGTCCTACAGCTCCAAGGACCGGGTTAGGTGTCCTCTACCACTGTGTTCCCACTGGCCCCCATCCAGCCCCGCCACAGCCCACTCCCTCAGGACGGTCACGCCCAGCACGAAGTGTCAGGAGAACGGGTGGGTGAGCGAGGACAGCGAGTTACTGAGCGACTCGTGCCCAGGGCTGAGCAGCGAGCCTCAAGTCAAGGGGCCTGGAGCTCGAGGACTGGCTTTGCCCCATCCGAGAGATGGCAACCCTGAAGGCCTGGCCCTCCTGAGCCTGGGGCCCATGGGACGTGGCCCCTGCTCACGTGAAGATGCGGGCCGTCTTGTGCAGGAGGTCTTGTTCTTGCTTGGAGCTGCTGCTGCTGCGCATGCTGTGCCGGATGATGCCCAGCAGCGGCTCGAGCAGCTCCAGGACCAGGGCGCTCTCCGGCTGCTTGGTCACCAGCACCTCGATCAGGTCCAGCACCTGGGAGCGGGAAGGTATGTCAGCCAACGGGGGCATGCAGAGCAGGGGGTGGGAGCACACGGCTCTCTACTCACCCGGGTCTGGAAGCTCTGCCGCAGCGCCTTCTCCTTCTGCAGCTTCTTCTTCTCATCACGCCGGGCCCGGATGCGCAGCTTCTGCTCCGCAAACAGGCTGGCGAGGCTCTGGTCCAGGGCCATCATGGCCTCGTCCCCCAGCTCCTCCTCGTCCTCGCTGTCCACTTCACCCTGAGGGACAGAGGCCCAGTCGTCAGCTCAGCACTAGGTGGGCACACGACAGACACACAGGCGCATGAGCCCCTGCCCCTGCTTGCCCCTGCTCACCAGTGCCTTCCCGGCCTGTAGTACCGCCATTAGCTGCTCCCGGAAGCCCTGGTCCACATCCCCATCACGCTCCTCTTCGTCACTCTCTGCCTCCTCGCTGCTCTCCTCACTCTCTGCATTCTCATTATCCTCACTGTCCTCACTCTTGTCCTGTGGGGGCAGACGTGTCACACCCCCCCCCCAGGGCTTCCCTGTCTGCCCACAGCCGCTCCCCTCCCCCGGCCCTTGCCTGCAAGCACCTCTGAGTTCTTCAGCTCCTTCTCATCAGAGTCGTCAGTGACTACCACATGGTCATCCTCATCCTGGCTTGTCTCAGGGTTCAGCACCTAGGGAGCGTTCCCAGCTGGCGATTCATCTGCAGCCCTGGCCCCCAGCCCTCCTAGATCACTGGGCTCTCCTGACCTGCTCTCCTGACCAGACACTGTACAGTCTTGGCCAAAGGCCTCCATTTCAGGGAGGAAAATGGAGCCTGGGAGAGGTGACCACACTCTCCGATGCCAGAACCGTGCCCCCGAGTGACCTCACCCTCACCCTGACCCTGACTCTGCAGGATGGCAGCAGGGAGGCTGGACTGGCACCCCCAGGACAGCTTGGTGTTCAGCGAGGCCCAGCCTGGGATCCATTCCCAAAAGTTCCAACTCACATCCAGGATTAGCTGCAGGGCACGTGGAGTCAGGTGGGGAAGGATGTGGCCAAACAAGCTCCGGGCTACCAGGCGCATCAGGTGACTGGGCTGGGCTAGGAGGGCCAGCAGGATCTCCACTAGCACCTCCACCCATGGCGGCTCCTGGGAATCTGCAAGAGGAGTGAGGGCTGAGCCCTGGCAGGGCACCGCTGGCCTGGCTGCCCACTCAGGTCTCTTGTGCCCAAGGACAGCCCTGTCCACCCTGCCCTAGGGCAATGACCCACTAATGGCCTTGGATCGGCTCCGGCGGGTCTTTTCCCCCAGGCTCTTCTTGATGCAGGTCTGGATGTCACCCAGCAGGTCACAGCTCTCTGCAGGGGACTATGGGAGAGCAGAACAGAAATCAGGGCCAGGCCAAGTGGGAACAGCTGGCATCCGAGGCCTCAAATCTGCCCTGGCCAGTCACCCTCAAAATCTGGAATCAAAGACCCTAGTGGCACTCCAAGAACTGATGACCTTTATAAACACCCAGTACAGACACAGGATCCAAAAGCATTCAGGGGACACGAAGCCCAACTTCCCCATTGACACCCAGAGAGGCAGAACTAGCTTCCTGATTTGCAGTTTCAGATTATTTCCCCCATGCTTGGCTTGGCATTAGAGACAGAACTGAAAGTCATTAGCTTTATTTAATTTAATGAAATTTAAACCCATCTTGCTAGAGATGAGCCCAGACTCTAGGCAGTGAGGTAGGGGAGCCTCTTAAAGACATCCTGTGATCTGTAGTACCTAAAAGGCAGACTTTCCTTCAAATGCAGTGGACAGCTTCAGTGTTTAGGCTGGGGTATCTGAAAGAAGGCCAGAAAGGGAATCCAAAGCCCTGGCCATTGCTCTCTAGCTCTGAGGCTGTATGACCAGACAGGTCACTGTCCTTCTCTGGATTGTACCTTTAATCTAAGGGTACGACGCATACCAAACTGCAGCCCTCTCTGCTATCAAAGGCCCACCACCAAGCATCAGAAGAAGCACGGTGGCTGATCCTGACCCACACGGCTCCTCCACAGACTGAGCCTGGAGTGCCCAAGGCCAGGAAGCAAAAACCCCAGCTAAGTGGCCAGAAGGAAGCAAAAGGGAGACCCATCTACTCAGGCCACTGAAGACCTGAGGCAGCCATGATGACAGCCTTACACTGTGAGGAGAGAACTTTTAAAGAACTCAAGAATCCAAATTCAAAAACAAACCGCCAGGGTCAAAGTGTTACTGGCACTGAGCTTCAAATGTGGTCAGCACATTTCAGGACATCCCATGGGATTTCTTGAGTCCCAGTCAATAGCGGTGTGGCAGCTATTGCCTCTCTGAGTCTTGGCTTCCCATATCGAACATGGGGAAGTGCTCGCCTCAAGGCTGTGGAGATTACAAGATGTCCCTCATGCAAAGCTTAGGATACAGGATGGGGTCAGTGAGCAGGGAGTTACTTTCCTTGGGTTATAATCCTACTCGTGATGGGGTCAGCTTAAGGAATCTTCCAAACTCAACTCCCAGAATTTTCCCTGGCCACCCAGATAGCCCTTGACCCTCTCTGCAGGGGGCCTGTCATGCCCCAGAACCCTAGGCCACACACCTTGAAGAGGTGGATGCCCACCAGGAGGAGCAGGTGCTGGAAGGCAGTGACTCTGGCTTCTGAGGAGTGGGCCTCCAGCTCCTTCAGAGTCTGCAGCATCCTGGGGTGAGAAGGCCATGTTCTTAGGCCACTGCTACCCAGCCAACCCCAGAGTGTCTCACCCACCCCCTGGAAATCCCACCCACTCACTGGTCCCAGGCCTGGCGCTGCTGTTCAGTCAAGGGGATCACAGTGGCCACATAGTGGCTGTTGTTCAAAAGCGTATCTGCCAACTGCACCAGGCGGTAGGTCCAGGGCTGCCCACTCTGGGTCTGGTCTGGCGTCCGCTTGAACTGTGTGCCGAAGGTCTGCAGCAGACTAGGCGAGAGGCAGGGCTTGGGGTCACAGGACTGAGCCAGAGAATGTGGCCGCTTCCCTCTACCCTTTCCAGAGCTTGGTGCCCACCACCCCTGGCCTCCGCTGTATTCTCAGTTTGAGGGCATCATGGCACCTTCCCACCTCAGGCCTCTCCTGAGTTGCCCAAGGCTCACCTGAAGAATGCACTGCTGACAACCTCTCGGGTCTGGCTCTCCAAAGGGAAGGACAACTGCTGCTTAGTCTCTGGGATCTGGGACGTGGGCTTCTTTGTTACAAAGAATGAGTGGAACAAACAAAACCTGGGGAAGGTGGGAGAGCAGCCATCGTTGTCTCATTGCTGTTCGTTCTTACAGGCTCCCTTTACTGGTGGCACTGAGGATGTGGTGCCAGGAGGAAGAGCGAGGAGCCATTCTGCTCTGGGTACAGCCCTATGAAGTGCGGCAAGCAAAGTTGGAGGTAGCTAGGCAATGACAGGAAACAGCCATTTCTCTGGTCTGGATCCCAGCTGAACATGGCTCAGCCTGAGCTGCGGACAGAGAACCAGAGCCCCTCCTTTGGAACCAAGTCAGACATGAGGCTGCTGTCATTGTTTCTGCAAGCATGGGGCTAGTGAAGCCTCCTCTTGCGACCATGGTGAGGGTCAATGAGCACTTGGCTCTGTGTCTGGCACAGATGAGGCAGGTATTGGGCAAAAGGCTTCCCCGGTACCATCAGTGTGGAAAGGTTGCCTGCAGGACACATGGAGCAAGACTGGGACTTTTAGGCCCTGTGGCCCCACACTGCTGGGACCCCTTTCCTTCACGGGTTCCCAAGGAATTCCTGAGTCCTCTTGCCCCTGGCTCCCCACTGATGACTCAACCTGAAGGCTTCTGGCTCCAAACTAGGACTGGGCAAGGGACTCCCATTCCTTGGCCATACCACCCACACATAGGCAGCTGGAGCACACAACACACCTGGCCACTTGCTCAGTCAAGGCCTCATCCATCTCCAGGTGCAAGCAGTCCACGATGCTGACCAGGCGAAGGATGATCCACTTCCGCAGCCGGAACACAGATCGTTCAGGCCTGGGGGCAGGAGTCGAGGTCATGGAAGCATTTAGAGATGGCAAAAACAGGGCACTCCTTTGCCCCTCTGAGACAGGAAACCAAGATCTCCTGCCCTGTTTGGTGTGGGACTGCACAAGGAAAGGCCTTGAGAGCTAAGGCTCCTCAACTCCCTACCCCCCCATGGCTTGAAGCCACAACATGGGGTGGGGTGTCTAGGTCACTGGGCTCCAGGAGGCCAACTCCTGAACCCCGGGCCTCCCCACAGGCCACTCACACGTGGCAGGATGCGTCCTGGGCTTTCTTCTGGTTGTTGGTGCTGAAGTCAACCAAGGAGTCCAGGTTGGGCTGTAGAAACATGTCCTGAAGCCACGCTACATAGTCCTGCAGTGCAGGGGGACTCAGGAATCGCACGACCCGCCAGAAAGTAGGTACAACAGGGAGGCCTTGGTTGGTGATGGATGAGAAGGCCACTAGCACGGCTAGCTGCCGCTCAGGGTCATCCCGGCATCCCTCCAGGAAGGTGCCCACATACTCTTCCATCTCTGGGGCAAACTTGGATTTGTTTGGGAGCTGCAAGAGTTAGGCATGGCAATGGGCTTAATAGCCCAGTGTGGAGGCCCACCAGCCTTGCACACTACAGGTTAAACTGAGGTCCAGGAATCCAACCCCTTCCCCTTTACACAGTTAGGCTGAGCCTGAGCTTAAAACAGTTTCCGATCACCCTGATGCTTCTGTCTGGTGTCAAAGCCTCCCTACATCTGACCTCTTTAGCTTCTGCATCTCTAGCCCTAGAAGGCTCCTCTTGCCTCACTGGATGGAGACAGGCTGCTTTTACAGGCTCAGCATGGGTGGAGTGGTGATTAGGAATCTAGGCGGACCTGGGTTCAAATCCCACTCTGCCAATTCCTAGAATTCCTAGCTGTGTCATCCCAGGGCCCCAAAACGACCACCTCTCACTACATGCCAGCTTGATTTGCCCTTGAAACAACCTTTGGCACTGGGCCATTATCGTCATTTTACAGATGAAGAAAGTGAAGCAGAAAAAAGCCTGCAAATAACTTCTCAGGGTCACTGGGCCCCCATCGGTACAACCGGGATTTGGACCCAGTCAGTCTAGTTTCCCAGCCCAAGCTTTTAACCACTGCTCTATACTTTTCTAACAACCCCCTCCTCTCCGCAGGAAATGAGGACAGCTCTCTGGAACTAGCTGCAAAGACTAAGTAAGCTGACTGGAGCAGCAAGCCCAGCAACAGGCACAGCATTGCTTGAACATCGGCAACACTTGTTCTCATTATGGCAACAGCAGCTGGGGGTGGAGGGAGGTTGGGGCAGATCTCTAGCTACCCAGCCTCTGTGAGGACCTGTGGGCACAAGGGCCTGACCCGGCCAAAACTCCCTTCGGAGGAGAGGGAGTTCAAACAGTTCATGTTACGCAAAGGACACCCAGGTCCCAGTCCAGGACCCCTGAGGTGTCCTGGCCCCTTCTTGGCAGGAGGGCCTATTGGCTCGCTCTTTCTGGCAGTGTTGCATGGGGTGGCACTCACCTTAGCAGTGACTATGTGCTCTCCGTAATGCTGGATCAAGTCTCCCCGCATCATCAGCTGCAGCTGTTCCTTGGACAGCAGGGGCAGGGCTGCACCCAGCAGGTGAAAACACAGGTAGCTGGGGGTATGGGAAAGAGCTGGGTCAGAGGCCTCGGGACTGGTGGCCCTCACTTGAAAGACGAGGAGGTCGAGAGAGGACAAGTGCCACACGCACCTGCCCGGCCAGAACTGCTTCTTTAGCAGACCTTGTTCCACAACCTCTTTCCAGAACCGTGGGAACTTGTCTTCCTTAAGTGCCAGGCGGAGCAGGGCCAGAGCAATGTCAGGTAGCTTGCGCTCCTTCTTTGCGGCGGTGGCAGCCATCTTTAGCACGTCCACCAGCCTGTGGAGGAGGGCAGAGAGAACTCAGGAAACTTTCGCCTAACAAGAGCAAGGGCCAGGGTGCCAGGCCACGTGGCAAATATGGGTTTGGACAGACGTAGTCCATGGCCCCAGGGAGAACAGATCCACCCGCCTCCCTCTCACCTGGGCACATTCTCATCCGAGAAGAGGTTGACTGATCCCATCAGCTTCTTGAGCTTCATGGGCACCTTCTGCTGGGCCAGGAGGAAGAGCTCCAGGTTCTCAGGGGAGCTGAGTACTGTATTCAAGTCGGCTTTGAGGACCTTTGGCAGGATCTCCCGTAATGTGGCCTTGGGGACCTAAGGATGGGGAAACAGGCTAAGGGATGTGGCTTCCTCACCGCATCCTTGAATCTCTCCCTGTGGGCCCTGTTCTGCCTGCGAGACTCCTGGCACAGTGTGAGCCTGAGGCAGGGCAGCCATAATCCACTTGGCTATGCACCAGGGTCATCAGAAGGCATTTGTTAAAAAACTCTAATTCCCAGGAAGTTGGGTTTTTAACAAGCACCCCACTGATGCTCATTGGCCTGGGTTACCGTTTTATTTATTTATTTTTTTTTCAGAAGACTAGCCCATTTCTTATACAAGGAGCCCGAAGTGGACAGCTGGGATTTGAATTCAGGTCCTTTTGGCTCTGAGGTAGCCTCTGCTTTTATATTCAGTGGCAAAGGGTCCTAGGTACTAATGTACGTCAGTTTTCCAAATTGGGCAGAGGAAGGCCAATAAGGGGCCAGGCTTGAGAGCAAGGTAACAGGGGCAAATGTGTTTAATATACTTGGAAGGTACCAGGGAGAGTTCTAGTGCTGTGCTATCCAACACGATAGCTACTAGCCACACGGGGCTACTGAGCACTCGAAACGTGACTAATCTGAGTGGAGATGTGGTGTATGTGTAAATCATATTGAGTTTCAGTGACTTTTTTTTGAGCCAGGGTCTCACTGTTGCCCAGGCTGGAGTACAGTGGCACAATCATGGCTCACAGCAGCCTCGAACTTCTGGACTCAAGTGATCCTCCTGCTTTACCTTCCCCAGTAGCTGGGACTACAGGTACACACCATCACACTTGGCAAACATTTGTGTAGAGATGAGATCTCACTATTTGCCCAGGCTGCTCTCAACCTCCTGGGCTCAAGCAATCCTTCTGCTTGGGCTCCCAAAGTGCTGGGATTACAGGTGGGAGCTATTACGCCTGGTCAGATTTTGAAGACTTAATGTGACAAAAGAAGTGCAAAACACCTCCACAATTTTCCACCCAACTGCACATTGGAATGTTTAGACTCACTAGATTAAGAGATGACTGAACGATATACCTTTCTTTTTACCTTAACAAAAATCACAAAAACACTCTGAGTTACACATCATTATATTTCTATGGGATAGTCTTGTTCTACAACATTCTCATCTGTTAATTCAAGTCTCTGCAACATCTCTGTAACAGGGAGTGCTGCCCGAGTCCTTCGGCTGTTAGGCCGGTACCTCAGAGAGGATGTCCACCAACGCCTTCTGGGGCTGTTCCTGCAGGTGGTTGTAGTGCTGGGCCAGGGCTTGCAGCAGCTTCACTGATTTCATCAGTGCCTCCTGGTCCTGGTCTCCACAGGGGGGCAGAGAGTATGAGCAGGGCATGCTACTTCCCCCACCACTCCCAAGCCAGTCCATGGGCCCCTTGCACTACCAACACTCTTACCTTCACCAGCCGGCCTGACTGAAAGAGGGCTAGCACCCCAAACAGGTTTGCAAAGAGAGCAGGTCTCACCGTTGCCTAGAGAAAGGTTCCAGGTGCAGGTGAGCAGGGCCCAAGTACTCCCCACTGAAATCCTCCCATCCCCGGGGTGCTGACCTCCCTGGACCTCTCACCTTCTTCATCTGATGCAGGTCATATTTTTCTTCTATCTGCTGCAGGACGCTGCACAAGGGGATGTCTTCGAAAGACTGTAACAGCTGCCAGGATTAGTGGCAGGAGGAAAAGAGAGACTCAGGAGTGACCCAGCTACATCCCAAAGGACCTTAACCTCCCTTCTCCCTTCAACTTTTCCCAAGAAGCCCTGGGTTCCTATTTCCACCCCAAGGATGCCTGCGCAGTGCTGAGGATGGGATGCTGCTGCTCAAATGGAAATGAATCTTGCCTCCCTGCTCTATCCCCACCAGGGCTTCAAGAGGTACCTTCTATAGTTTAGATTGCTCAGCTGATATTCCCAGACACCTGCCTTATCCCCACAGTGAGTCTGGAGCTTCCCTCAGGCTGATCCTAAAGGACTGGGTCTTTACTGCACTTCCAGTTGTCCAAGCTCCTCAGAGAATGGCTTATAATCAGTAAAATGACCTTGCCAGGAGACGGCCCTAAACCCTGCAGGCGTAAAGGAGCCCACCACAAAGCTCAATATTCCCGGTAAGTGAGGCTGGTCAACCCAAGTACCAAGAGAAAACTTTGTTCAACTTTCATTCCACTTGCCTGGACTTCATTATAGACAGGCCTTGTTCACACACCTTCTCTGCCTCCGTGTGAGGACACCTCCTTCAGCACAAACGCCACCCCTTGACTTTTCTCTCCAGTTGTTCCTTCCCCGCAGCTGAGCTTTCCGCCCTCCCATACGCTACCGTTTTACGGCTGTGACCCTGGCAGGAGCAGCACCTCACCTGTGCCAGGGCAAGACTGTAGCAGGGCCGGGCTGTTTCTCGCCCGACCCCCAGCCCGGTGATTAGGCGCTTCAGGGCGTATTTCATCTCGGACCCCTGTGGGAAGCAAGCGCACGCTCAGGTAGAACAGTGACGAGAATCTGCCTGTCCTCGCCCACTTTGATATCCGGGTCCGCGACTACATGTTTCCAGTCCCACATCCCGGGGTTCGCCTGCCCCAGGCCCCGCCGCCGTACCTCCGGCCTTGTGCGCAGATACTCCAGCAACTTCTCCGTGGCCTCAAGCCGCGTCTCCTGCTGCGGCTTCGCAATGTCCCAGAAGAAGTCTAGGAACTCGCGGCTGAGCTTCAGCAGGTCATGGCGGTCGGCAGGCCCGAGGCCGCTCGGCGTCGCTTCTCCCGGAGCCATCGGCTCTGCGATATCCTGACTCCGCGTCTCCGCCATGCTCCCGAAACACGTGGGCTTCAGACCAGCTGCTTCCGGGTCAGGTCGCCGCGCGTGCGCGCCGGATCGGGTCGGCTCGGGGGCGGGGCCGGGGCGGGGCCATCCGCCTTCACTCTGGCCGGAAATCGCTCTCCCAGCTGCGTCGGGCGCCTCCCAGGCTTCAGCTCACGCCCGCGTCTGCTCCGGCGGCTGTGGCCGCTGTTCCCTCGTACCCCGCTGGGAGCAGCATTTCTTTGAACCCATCTCGGAAAACGAACCCAAGTGCCGCCAATCAGCCCATCCAGAGCGGTCCCTGCGCTCCGAACATTGTGTCACTCAACAATTACTGAGCTCCTACGGTGCGCTGGGCACTGTGCTGCGCCAGGCGGACGAAACAAAGCTGCATCTTTCTAGGACTTCCTTTCCAGTGAGAGGAGACAGCTGCTGAACAAATATCCAGAGACATTTAAAAAGAACATCGTTGTGAAGAAAATAAAGAGGGAATGCAGAGGTCAGAGGAAGACTTTTAAGTTTTGAAATATGTGAACACATCACCCGTCAGAGACACCGCTAGCCGAGAATAAAATCCAACAGATTCTACAATACTGATTCGAGGGGGTAGTCAGGGAAGGTCTCTCTGACGAGGTGACATTTGGAATGAGGGCTGAACGACAAGAAAGACAACCCCTCCCACCCCCTACAAAGATCTAAGAAGAAACGAAATCCCGGGCATTGCAGCTACAAGGCCTCAGGACTGGAGGGGATGAGGCTAGTGAGGTGGGTGGGAGAAGCAAGATTTCGTGAGACCCAAGGCCAGGATCAGGAGTTTGGATTTCATTCTGAGTGATGAGATGTCACTGGATGGTTTAATGAGAGGGCAGGCCTTGATGGGCTTGACATCTTAAAAAGATTATGCTGGCTGCTATGTGGAGGGATTGATTTTAGGTGTGCACAGGTGGAAGCTGGAGGACCAGTTAGAGACAGTGGTGGATTGGACCAAGGGAGAATGAGAACAAGTCAGATCAGGGCTGATTTGGACCTGGTGGAGTGAGTGATGGATGGGTTGTTGGGGGAGAAGGAAAAGGGGGATGTGAGACTTGGGGATAAAATAACTGGGTACATTGTGGTGCTGTAACTAAGCTGGGGAAGAATTTTCTTTGGGTGGGGGAGGTGGAGGTGGAAGGATCAAGAGTTCTATTACATCAGAGAAGCCTTTTACAATGGCAGGGGAAATGCTACTGGTTACTCTTCCTTGTTGGTTTGAGAAGCTGTTTCTAGAGGGCTGTGGTCCAGAGAGACTCCCCCAGCCTTAGCGGGGAGGTCAGGGTCAACCTCAGGCTTTAGATTCCATATACCTACCTCCAGCCTCTTTGTACCCAAGCCCCTGGGTACAAAGCTACTCACCCTCTCAACCCCTTCCCTTCTAGAAAGTGCTAGAAAGCTTCCCTTCTCTACTGTCTGTTACAGAAAGTGAAAAGATTTACCTTGGACATATGGTGCCCTGGGAGACAGAAGGTGAGCAGAGCAGGGGGAAGCTGAAAAAACACCAGCTCAGGCTCTCCCCTCTCTGGATGTTGGTCACCTGTGCTGCCCAATGGGGAAGCCCTGACATCAGGTGCCTCCAATGCTGATGAAAAATTAACCAAGAAGCATGAATGGCATTTGACTTTCAGGAGACGTGATCTTTATTTTGTTTCCAGTCCAGTTGAGAAAGATGAGTAAAAGGTGGCCTAAAGGGGAGGACAGAGATACCAGCAGTACCTTAGGCAATGCCTGCCCTGCCCCATGGCCCAGAGCCCAGGAAGGGGCTTGGTATACTTTCATCTGTCCTTCCAAGAGCTGCATTTGAACTCAGGGCCAGCTCCAGGCTCTGTTACTCTTCTATTATCCTCAGGTTCCTAAGCTGATAAAAGAGCCAGAGATTCCATCCAGTTGGAGTGCTTCGAAGAGTGATTGAGCTAGCCCTGAATACCAGTACTCAAGTCCAGGCAACTGACCAGGCCAGAGATTGGAGCCTGTGCCAGCAGTGAGCACATAATAAATGCACACTCTTTTAAAAATATATGTACATATATACATACATATATATGTGTGTATATATACATATGTATAAACATACACACACACACACATATATATACACTGAGTTGGAGTCTCACTCTGTTGCCCAGGCTGGAGTGCAGTGGCATGATCACAGCTCACCACAGCTTTGATCTCCTGGAGATGCACACTCTTTATGCACTCCATTGCTCCTGGGTCTGCTCTGCTCTTTCCTCCAGGCAAAGACAACTCTGCTTCTCCGTTAGAAGCCCTGGAAGGGGCAGCAGCCACTGGGAACACTGGAGACATGGGTATGCTCTGCATGGGCTGATACCTGGAGCAGTGTCCCTTGGCCACAAGTGCTGGGATGATCTGTTGGACCTTGCTGGGTCTGGTTCTGGTGTTGGGCCTGGGTTTGGGGCCCTGCCAGATGACTGAGTAAGGCACGAGTCATGGCTCTGGCTACATCTGGGGTCCCTGAAGCCACCAGCCCCAACACATTAGCCTCTGTATCATCCGAGCTGTCACGGAGGATGAGGGGACAGGTCCAGGCACTAGTAGCAGACCTGGTCGTCAGGTCACTAAGCAGAACCCCGGTGCTTGGGGACAGGTGTCTGGAGCCAAAGGAGCTGTTGAGCGAGGAGGTGAGAAGGAGCACAGAGCCGCTGCTGTCCACGGTGGCCAGGATGCTGCTTGATGGGGTTGTGGCAGTTTGCAGGGGCGGTGGGCAGATGTCAGGGCTGGGCATCCCAGAGTGTAGGGTTGCCTTTAGCAGTGCCAGCAGTTCTGGACCAGCTGAAGGACTGGGGGTGGTGAACAAGATGCCCTGGGGCATAGGTAGCTGCAGTGCTGGCTCCACGGTAGGCCTGGGCCCAGGTGAGGGCATCTCCACCCCCAGGTCTCTTGTCAGCAGACTCAGCAGGGAGTCCCCAGCAAGGTCTGAGGTGGTGGTGAGTGCTGCTTTGTGTAGCACAGCTGCCAATTTGGGGTTGGTGGCTCGGGCCCCGGGGCCCAGGGGTGTCCCGTCAGTGTGGCAAAGCAGCGGACAGAGGCCTTCTGTGCCCTGAGCTGCCAGAGCCCTTGCCAGGGCTGTGTCCACCAGGAAGCCCTCTTGAGCCAGTGTGGTGGGGCCCCCCAGCAGGTGTGGCCAGGGCAGGTGGCCGAAGCGTGCGTGTAGTAAGTGCAGGGTGGGCAGAGCTGCTGGCAGTCCCAGGCCGGGGGCCAGGGTCTGGGCGGGGCCTGATGTCAGAGCAGTTGAATTGCCCGAGGAGCTATTGTGGAAGAGGCCCCAGAACATGGCACCTGGGAGGAGATAAAGGGGTCACACAGGAGTCAGGGGCACTGGCCAGGACTTGGGGTGAGGGTCACTCAGCAGCCTTAGGTGAAGGGTCACTGACTTGTTTGCGTCAAGACCCCTTAATTGAGCCTGGGATCTGAAGTTACTGACCAGGCTTGGGGTCAAGATTACACAGACCTGGGTTCGAGGGTCACAGCCTAGGTTTGGGGTCACTGCTCAAATCCTAGGTCGTGCTCACTAACCAGTCTTGAGATCAGGGCTACTGACGGCCTGAGTTCCAGGTCACTGATCAGGCCCTGGGTTGGGACCGCTGTCTGGGGTCGTGGGTCACTGACCTAGACCTGTGGCATGAGGATGCACCACTGCCAGGCACAAAGCCGCTCCAACTCCGGCGTCCACGACGTTGCCCCCGGCAATGAGCAGCTCTTGGCCCAGGTGGGAGCATGTGGCTGTAGCAAGGAAGGGACTGTCATGGGGAGGGGCCTGGGATCAGTGACCCCCCCCGCCCCACCCCCAGTTGCCCAGCACCGACCTGCAGGGCTAATGATGGCACCATGGTGGTATACGCCAGGGTGATGGGAGTGTCCTCTTGGTGGAGGGGCCGTAGAGCCCAAGCCTCCTGTCGAGCCTCCCCTAGCATGGAGCTGCCACACAGCCAGGGAAGTGCCAACGGCCAGCAGCAGCAGGGCTGCCACTAGATGGGCCCAGGCTCCGGGCAGCCCACCAGCCTTGTTCCTGCAGAGGAGGGTGTCTTGAGCCAGGGCTGGGGTGGGGAGACTCCCAAGATACCCAAGAGAACCCAAGGAACGTTTCTCAAAATGGTTTGATTTTGAAAAGGAGTACATATTTGCCACGGAGAACAAGGGCTTCCAGGCAGAGGGCACAGCACAGACGAAGACACGGAGATGGGAAAGAACTTGGAGAAGCTGAGGCTAGCTAGGGAGGAAGTCTGAAAAGAAGGGTGGAGAGGCAGAGTTGAGGCAGGTGGGAGGGAGGCCTGACAGGGTCTTGGAAGACAGGGGAGCAGGGCTTGCCAGGTGTGGCCAGGTCCCAACCTGCCCAGGGAGTTGGGGGCTGGGGACCTTTGACAGAGCAGCAGACAGGACAGGGGCTGGCTTGACAGAAATGTCCCTTCAGTCACTCAGACCTTTGATTGACTGGCTTAAGCCTGGTCTGGGGCTGCAGCCTTGATTTCCCCCATTCAATCAGAAAGTTCCTGGAGCTGAGCCCAGCACAGGACTGCCTCCTCCAGGGGCTCAGAGAGAGGGACTTGCCAGCCTTAAGCCTAAGGATCCCAGTGCCCAGACCCCTCCCTCACTCACCTGGAGGAGTCCTGGGGCCTCCAGGGGTCAGGAACCAGCGGCTCTGATGTCTCCCCCTCCTCCTGCTCCTCCTCTGACTCCAGGCTTGCCTCCCAGAGCAGCAGCTTCTGGTAGACTACAAACTCTGCTGCAGGCTCCATGGTCCCCCGTGCCTGCCGCAGCCCTCCCGCCTGCCAGCCCTCCCGGTTGCGCCTCAGAGGCCCTGCCCAAGCTGGGTCAGCAAGTGGGAGGTGGCGGCAACCTTGGGAAAGGGTGGTGGTGAAATCTAGAACAGGTTTGGGCAGGGCGTGGAGCCAAGAAGGCTGTGCATGAGGTTCCCCCATTAGGACACAAGACCCGGGAAGCTCTCACGACAGGGTTCCCACTGCGGCTGCCGATCAGAAGTCACAGCTCAGTGAGGTCCAGGAGGAGTCCAGCCCTAAGCTCACGGCCTTGAGACCAAGGACACTTGCTGGCCCTCTCCCCTGGGGGGGATGCAGCCCCTGGATCCCTAGGCTGCCCAGGATGCTAGCCTCGGGACTGTGGACTTGAATTAGAGCTACAATTATATGGGGGCCTAGGTCGGAGCTCAGCACGTGACTAGGTTCTGGTGCCGTGGTATCTGGTTTCAGGCTGGAGACTACCAGGCTCAGCCTGAGGTTTCTTTGAGGTCTGGGTTTCTCTGGGGAACAACTTGGTTGAGGACGGCGACTCCCTGGGCATGTTGTGTGACTCTTGTCCAGCAGGTGGCGCCACAGACCTCGGTGGGAACCACAGCCTGGAAACCAAGAGTTTCCAAGTTCCTTCACTCTGGGGATTCACATCAAGGCTCTGAACTACCGCAGAACAGTGCTGTTTGTAACAGCTCTACATTGGAAACTGCCCAAACATCCATTATCAGTCGAATGAATGATGTAAGCCACAGCAGAATTCTCTGCAGCAATGAGAATGGACGATGTGCAATCTATACACGGATCTTACAAACAAAAGAATGACTGAAAGAAGCCAGACACCAACGAGCACACTGCGCTTTTATTTATTTAAAGTGCAAAACAGGCAAAGCTAGTCTCTCTGCCTCTAGAAGTCATGTCGTGGCTGGAGCAGGGTCGAGAAGCCCTCTGGCGATGTTGTTTCTTAATTTGGGTGTGGGTTACATAGGTGTGTTGATTGTGAAAATGCATCAAGTTGTTCACTTATGAAGCATCCACTTTCTCGTACGTATGTTGTATTTCAACAGAAGTAGGGAATAAAAGCTCAAGTATTTTCTTTTTCTTTTTTTTTGAATCGGAGTCTCACTATGTCGCCCAGGTTGGAGTGTAGTGGCATGCTCACAGTCACCGCAGCCTCGACTGGCTGCGCTCAGACGATCCTTCTGCCTCAGTCTTCCAAGTAGCTGGAACTACAGGCACACAATACCACACCCAACTAGTTTTTGATTTATTATAGAGACGAGGTCTCACCAAGTTGCCCAGGCTGGTCTCGAACCCCTGGACTCAGGCAATCCTCTCTCCTCGGCCTCCCAAAGTGCTGAGCTTACAGGCTTGAGCCATCACACATGACCTAGTATTTTCTCCATAAAAACAACAACCACAAATGTCATTCTTTAATCCAACATGGTTCTCCAGCCTCTTCCCTTTCTCCTGGCCTCTTTACAAGCAAGTACAGGATTGTTTTTTGTTTTGGACTTTGGTGTGCATCAGAATCTCTGAGGGAGCTTGTTCGGTGAGATTACTGACTGGGGGTCTGGGGTAGGGACCAGGAATTTGCTTTCCTAACTCCCAGGTGATGCTGAGTCACACTTTGAATAGCACCACCTACAAACAGTCATGTACACTTGCTGTTTCCACCTCCTTGCCTCCCATTTCTTTCCTGTCTCCTCCTCTCCAGAGAAAGCTTTGGATTCCAAGTTCTTTGGATTTCTTGGCCCAATAAAAACCAAACAAATAAACCAACCAACCAAAGGGAGAGAACGGCATAGGGCTGCCGACTTCTAATTTTGCCAGTGGTGGGCGGGAGTCACAATTACCATCTGCTCTCATTTCATAACATAATTTGGTTTCACTTCCTGTGCACACAATGCAGGTAGGTTAGAATCTCAGAATGAAGGTCAGTCCTTCCTTCCTCAGAAAAGGCATCTGGAAATCTTAGGTGTCTGTGCTGTCTCCATCTCCCGCCCTGTCCTCACCCTGGCCTCTGGGCTCCCTGTGTCCAGCAGACATGATTCTTGGCCCCTGCCCAGAATTCCCCTGCTGACATCCCCCTACTCTTAGAGCTAGGTCCCGATGAGCTCTTTGGGACAAGACCTCCACTGTTTGGGTCCTGGGGACCTCTCCCTATGAGGCCTTTCTCATTTCCACAGCTCTGGGCCTGAACAGCTCTGCTCTGTGCACCCCCAGGCATGTCTATTAGCTAAGCTCCAGTTAGATGCCAGATGGGCTCTGGGGATAAATGTGCTCAGGCCAAAGCAGCTTCAGAGGCAGATGGAGCCGGTCATTTGGGGGCTGGGGTTGGGGGTGGCATTTGGCATTGGTTTCAGGAGACCTGGGTCTAGTCCAGTGTCTGCTACTGACTCAATATGTGACTATAGCAAGACATTTAACCTCTGGGAGTCTTGACTCCATTTCTGTATAATGGGGATCATAGTATTTATCCTCCTAGGGTTGTTTTGAGGTTTAAATAAGAAACACATTGAACGCATCTAGGCCAGTGCTTAGTACAGAGCACACCCTCTAAAAATGTGAGTTCCTTTCTACTCTATGGGCCCCCACACCTATGATCCCCACACCTGCAAATACATACACACAAACACAACACTTGCTCACTCATGGGGTGGCTTGAAGTCTGAAGTGTAAGACTGTAGATCCATTTGTTCCTTCATTCATTTCCTCATTTATTCATTCATATTCTTATCCTAATGGTTCTCAGCCTTAGCTGCTCATTAGAATCACTTGGAAAACTTTAATGGTCTTGGCCCCTGCCCAGAATTCCCCTGCCCTAATACCTAGACAGACCAGTGAATTAGCTAAATCAGAATCTCTGGGTTGGAGAGTCCTCAATAATTGTTAAATCTTTCCAGATGTTTTCAATGTGCAGGCAAGGTTGAGAACCACTATCTTATCTAACCCCCTAGGCCAGTGATTTTCAAAATTGTAATCACCTGTCGTGAGCCAGAGTCTTACTCTGTCACCCAGGCTGAAGTATAGTGGCATGATCACGGCTCACTGCAGCCTCAACCTCCTGGGCTCAGGTGATCCTTCTGCTTTGGCCTCCTGAGTAGCTGGGACTACAGGCGTGCACTACCATGCCTGGCTCATTTTTTCATTTTCTGTAGAGACAAGGTTTCGCTATGTTGCCCAGGCTGGTCTTGAACGCCTGGGCTCAAGCAATTCTCCTGCCTCAGCATCCTAGAGTGCTGGGATTACACTACACCTGGCCTGTAGAGATGTTTTTAAAAATACCAACATCTTGATCCCTTCCATGTGCCAGTCTCATACCAATTGAATCAGTATCTCTGAAAGTGAGCCCCAGTCATTATGCTATTTTTGAAAGCTCCCCAGATGATTTTTATTGGCAGCCAGGCTTGAGAATTGCTGCTCATAGTAATGTTCTCACAGATGCACTTAACATTCACTGAGTGCCTCTTCTGAGGCACCTGTGTAGGGGGGGACAGTGAGGAGTTGGGGAATCAGCCCAAGCTTGGATGTACCTCAGTCCACAGGCATGTCCTCCCGCCGCTCTGGCTGCCCCTCCAACAGGAAGGGATTCCAGAGACAAGGGAGGGCATGCACCCCATGGTTGGCATTTCTATAAGTCCCCCTAAGCTCTAGGAGGGACTTTCCTGTTCTTCACCTTTCTGGTTTGGATCTACCGTGTGTGTGTGTGTGTGTGTTGTGTGTGTGTGTGTGTGTGTGTGTGTGTGTGTGCACCTTTCTCCAAGTTGACTTTATAACTGGTGCATGCTGGGATTTGAGTCTAGTTATAGAATGGAGACAACGAAGTGGGTGAGGGTAGAAGAATTGACTCTTCCCTGCAAGGTACTGCTCTCTGTGTGATGTGACCAGAATTGTTACAGAATTAAAAAAAAAAAAATCACTCCAGGTGATTCCTGTTGCAGAAACCACTGAGCAGACGTTTTGAGCAAATTAGGAACACAAGGGACAAGGAAGTAGGATTAGAATGAGCATTTGCTGGCTGGGCTCGGTGGCTCGGCCTGTAATCCTAGCACTTTGGGAAGCCGAGGTGAGCAGACTACTTGAGCCCGTGGTTTCCAGACGAGTCTGTGCAACTTGGTGAGCCCTCGTCTCTACAATAAAATAAAAAACTAGCTGGGTGTGGTAGTATGTGCCTGTAGTTCCAGCTACTTGGAAGACTGAGGTGGAAGGATTGCTGGAGCCCAGCAGATCAATGCTGGGGTGGCCATGAGTGTGCCACTGTCCTCCAGCCTGGACAACAGAGTGAGACTCCAATTCAAAAAAAAAAAAAAAAAATGAGGATTTGCCATTTGCTATGATAATTGCATACTCAGGAAAGGGAAAACACTCATATCTTTCAGGAGTCATTGGATGCTGGCTCTGTGTTAATTTCTGAATGCCACTGTGGTCTGTTAGTTAGAATGGGGACTTTGAAGTTTATTTCTTAAAAGGGAATTTGACCTATATTTCTTCATGATGGATCTGCTGGAATTCTTAACTCATCCTGTGGCTATTTCCACACTTTCTGAGTATGCAGTTGGAATACATATACTGACCAATGACCATCATCTTCACATTGTTTCTCAGGCTCATATAGTAAGAGCCTTTATCACAGTAAGAGCCAAGCAAATGCTTCTGGAGTGCTCCCTCTAAGTGGAGTAGTAAACCAGAATCAATATTGCATTCTTGAAGGAATTGCAAAGATTAATCCCACCATTAAAGAATTGAAAGATGAAGAGATACTGATTCCTATCATATTTCAACTTCAGTGGTTTGTATAATACAGAAGACAGATGGACCTTGGAAAATAACAGAGGATGCAGTAAAAATAGGTAACTCATTGCAGCTGCTGTTCCAGGTGTTTCTTTATTGGGGAAAATCAACACAGCCCCTGGCAAATGCTTTGTTCTCTATCCCAACAACCAGAGATTCTGGAAGCCATTTGCTTTTACCTGGTAGGGACAGCAGTGCACTTTCACAATCTTGCCTCAGTGTTGTGGCAATGCAGCATCCAATGTT